TCAGGGTTAGCAGTTCTGTGATAACATTTTACATTTCATCTTCAAGATAACTGTTAGGTTAGATAATTGTCCGGGTGGTAGAGTTTAGCATTGCCAGACATGCAAAACTCACTTGGCAAAGCACATGTATACATTGGCTGATGTTTTATTTTCCTCTCTCAGTAATGTAATGGAAGGCTTTAGAAATCATTATTTGGGATAAGAAAGGTTTTACTTGCAGCTTATACATGTATTAAAGTAGCTTAAGGTTTTTAGTGCTCCCCATCATTAGCTGAACTTACTGGGAAACATGATCTCTTTTTTTTTTATCATTTCTAACCAGAACTCAGGAAAAAAAAGTTTGGTGGTAGATGATTTCAGAGCTTAAATTAAGAAGGTGAAGGGTTATCTCCTTTCAGCAGTCTTTCTAAGTTTTTATGATAAAAATTCATTTTACTTAAACAAAAAAAAAACTCCAACAAAAGAACTTCTTGTGGAGCTGAAGGGAAAATGGACAGTTATATAGTATCAGCCAGAAACAATCTAAGGATATAGGAGAAATTTCCAGAGTTCATTTTCTAATGAACTCCAGTGCTCCAGTCTTTGTTGGTTTAAGTGCTGGATTTATTCAACAAGCAGAAGTGAATATAGACCGGGTATTATTAATAAGATCAGCAAAGCAACATTGTATTAAATGTAATTATAATAATTTTATTATCATTAATATATGTTGTGGAATTTGCTGAACTTTGTCTTTACTCCTAACAGTGTTTGAAATATGATGATGTAGTTCCCTTGTGTTCAAGAGGCTAGATTCTGTCCTCGCATAAAAACATGCAGTTTTAATGAAGTGCTGTCAAATTATACATTTTAATTTGAAAACTACATCTACACCTTATATCTTCATCGTCAAACAGTTGATTTGTATATTTTTGAGGCAAATGTGCTTTTTTAGTACAGTGGCAATTGTTTTGGATGAGTTTAGAGAAGGCAGCCCAGTATATTTCTCATAAGTGATACATTACAGAAAAGGATATGTTCACCTTTCTTCATAACAGAATGATTTTGTGCTTGCATAATTAGGAGATGGTTCTGTGTGACGTAATCAGGAGTCCTGAATCATTAATTTAAAGTTTGCTAACTGATTCAGAAGCAGATTTAGAAAAACCAGCATGCTACTGCACACATTTAAATCTAATGCTGTACTAGTGCAGAGTGAGGATGCATTTAGGATACTTGGGTATGTTAATGCCCTTGTCATTTTAATTCTGAATTTTTAACATAATAATACAGACTGCTTGGGGAAAAAAAAGGCACACTCTGGAACAAAAATTATTAAAAATTTCTCTTGCAAATATTTTGACGGGTAGGTGTAATTATATGTAAAGACATGTCTTGGGGAGGGTATGCAAAAATCTTAGAATATCTGCAAGATTCGTGGAAGAGATAAGAAAAATTCTGCACTGCTATGAATTAGCTTTTTTAAAAGAAGTATTCAAATTCACACCTTATGCAGCATTTCACATATTTGCAAATATATAAATAGTTGCAAGTCAGATCATTAATTTATTAATCCAGATTTTTTTACTTCTTTCCTAATTTTGAAAGGTGCTAGGCAGCATTTTGAAACCCTTAGTTTTGTCAGTTGAAAATCAAGCTCCAGGTTGTTGGTCTGTTCTAATAGACATGTTTTGTGGTCAACCTTTTCATCACTCTTGTAGACAGGATTGCTCAAATAATCCAGCCATCTAAATACCTTACCTCTGACACTGTTCCTGGATACTAAAAGCATAATAAAGATTACAGGGATAGCAGGTGGGCTGAATTGATTTATGGTGATATGACCTTGCCAGTGTTTGCGATCCCATTGTGAGTGCTGCGATATCAATGTACAATTTCAACTCCCGTCTCTCAAAGCTGTGTGAAAACTTGTCTGGGCTATGGATTTCTTTGTTGAAACTGTGTGGCAGCACTCCTGCCTGTCATTATTTCAGCAAAGAAAGACGATTTCTGGCCTTCCTAGTGGTGCTGGTGTAGGCCAGCTGTACAGCGGGTGTTAAATAAATAATTGCAGAGGACAAGTTCTGTTTACTTTTTACATTGCTGACCTTATAATCGGGAATGTTTTGCACGGGAAAGAGCTAACTGTGTCTGACGCAGGCCAATTCCCTGAGAGCTTCATTCAGCTGCTTTCAATCATCTTGTGGCAGAGACCCCCCACGAGCAGCTGGGGGCTGCCTTTCAGTAACCTGAGGATGAGCAGGGGTTGGGAGGTGTGTCCAAATGGGGAATGGCACCCACAAAATACCTTAACTGAGTGCTATCCTCGCCTTTGATGCAATTTCCAGCAGGTTAGTAAGTCTGTAGCAAGATTATTTACAAAATTATGTTATCAAATACATAAGTTGTGGTAGTAGAATAGAAAGAAAGAAACTTTCAAAGCTGTGCACACTGGCCCAGTGTGTCTCTTGCGCCATGTATTTCACAACAGAGCACAAATCCTTAAATCTGGGTATCTCTCTAAAAGATGCTTTATGTACAGCTCTTCTCCAGCCTTCTATTTGCCTATCTGCTTTCCCACTGGCCCAAGAACAAGCACTTCCCTCTTTGCCTTGGTTAGATAATAACATATTCTGTTTCTGCTGTGAGAGGATAAACTTTGCAACCCGAAACACCCTGAAATCTGGAAATTCATAATAGACATGGATTTTGAGGGTTTGGCCATTCCCAAACCTATTGGTGCATGGGAACAACTGTTCCTTCTTATTCTGTCCCTCTCTAAGTGGATTGGAGGCTGTGGCTTCTTCATACAACCGTATGGTTGAATACCACATGGTATGAATGCCATACGGTACTCAACATACCATACAATGGGTTAATTTTTGGTAAGGTTTCCTGGAGCCCCAGTCTCTCCTTGGTTTGGACTGCTGGCTTGCAATCCAGGGATGAAGCCAGCAGGCACAGGGGGCTGGTGCTGCCCTGCTCCACAGCAGGGTCCAAAGGCTGTTGGTCTGAAGTGGCCAGAGCATTTCCAGTGCAGCTGTGCAGGGCAATCCTGGCCTTGCCTTCTCCATACCCAGCAGCAGATCCCAGGAGCAAGCACAGAGCTGGGGAGAGCCAGCACCCGGAGCATTGCCCAGCTGGGGGTGCAGGTTCTTGGAAACAATGTTCCAAACTTGGTCAAGACATGAGGAGGCTGAGGCAGCTTCAGGGCTTGTGGCAGTGTCAAGTGAGATGGTTTCTCTGGAGAGGGAGCCTGTGCCTGTATCCAGCAGGTAACCACCAGAGCTGGGAAGTGGCTGCAGCTGTTGGGATAGGCACGCTGCTGCGTAGGCTTGCAGCACAGTGGAATTAGATTGCTGGGAACAGGAGTCATCTGTGGCTCCTGCGCTGAAAACATTATATGCTCCTGGCTTTTCTTTTTGAGACCACTGGGCAGATCTTATTTGCATGCTTTGTAAAAGTTTTTTAAAGAGTTTTGCAGCTACTTAAAAAACAAAGGGTATAACTAGCTATAAAATAAAACTGTTGTCAGGCCTGTGGTAAATGCCTGGAAACACACATGAGTCTGGACACACTCCAGATGCTGGGGGCACAATACAGCCTAGGTACAGGGCCATGCCATGGCCCCCGGTGGCAATGACAGTGCGTGTGCCATTGTGGCATCCCCTCTCACCACATGCACTCCTCAGCCGCTTTGTGCGTCCTCAGGATCTCCTGGGCTGGGGTTTGTGAGGCTCTCCGTGTTGTTTTGACTGTACTTGCACACTGACTCTCATCCATAATCAAATTTACAGCAAACTGGGTTGTAAGTGATGGAAACCACATGGGGAAACAAAAGGCACCTCAGCTCTGAAGCTGAGCACTGGTGTCAGCCTGTGCAGGCAGGGAGTCGTGTCATTACATAATGATGCATTTATCCAAACGGTGGTTTGTGTTTTGGGAGACAGATGTGCCTTGCAGTTGCTAGTGGAAGTTAAATGTTAAATATGAAACCCATTCATTTTCTCTTAGTCATACTTTGGATTTAAGCAGATGTTTTCCTAATTTGTGGTTTTCAAATGTAGCATGCTGACAAGACATTTATCATTAACTACAGCTTCATCCATGCAGTTTAGCAAATTGGCCAATTATTAACAGTGAGGGTTGCATGGTGGTTGATGCATGGTTCCTGCTACTTTGAAAGGCCTCAGTTGAAACTCAATACATTTTTACAATATAAATTAATTGAGCTTTGGACCACATCCCTGTTGTATGAGTGTTCTCTGCTCTCACTGTCAGAATGAACAGCCATTTGTAATGCAATGAGTAGCTGTGCTGTCTGTGAGCAGAGGTGGTGGAAAGTGAAGGATAACATTTTTCCAGTAGGAGCATGAAAATGATAGTTTGGTGGTGGTGCTGGGAATTAGTGAGATGTCTCAAAGGTGTTTCCCAAAGCAAGGAACCACCATATGCCTGAAAAATTCATCTTCTGTTTTCCCAGCTCTGGAGTTCAAGCAGGCAATTCAATAATTTACTCATCCCATGTATGAGACTTGAAGTGTACCTCTTCTTTCTAGGAAGTATAAAGACCTTGATTTTCACCAGCTGGCACTGCAGAAATTTTGTCTTTGATTGTAGCTGAACAGGGAATACTCTTGAGGACAGCTTGTTTGTAGTTGCTTCTCATTCACTTTTTTTCGTCCTCTATATTTGCATTTGCAAAACTATAGGCTTTGTTACAGAACAAGCTGCTGTTCAGATTAATAACAGAAGGACTGTAAACAAAATAAATGCATGTGGAATATTTTCTCTTGCTTTATGCAGCCAGATGTGCTAGGTGGGAAATACCTGAGGGGCTGGCTTTAAAATCCCATTTGATGTCCTCTTCTTCACATTACCTGCTTTGTAGGAAGAGAGAATAATGAAGGTATCACAAAATCAGTCAGGATCAGTGATGTCTCAGCAGGGGGGCTGGAAGTTGCATGAAGTGCAGAAAAGGGGGAAAATTGCATATTTGGGGACGGTGTGGGAGGGCCTGTATGGCCTTTGCTTTCCCTGAGTTTGGATACACTAAACCACTGGCAGCAGCTGTGTATCCCGTGCTGGGCTTTCACATGAGGTGGGTGTAGGTAGGTGTGGGGTGAATTTGGCTAACCCAGATGCTGATCCTTTGCAGTGCTGCCAAACTCCTGGAGAAGAGTCCATTCTCTGTTGGCGCCCCGAGCCCCCTGCTCCCCTCGCCGGCGAGCCTGCAGCTGGCACAACTCCAGGCCCAGCTCACGCTCCACAGGCTGAAGTTGGCTCAGACTGCTGTCACCAACAACCCGGCCGCCGCCACTGTCCTCAACCAGGTGCTCTCCAAAGTGGCCATGTCGCAGCCACTCTTCAACCAGCTGAGGCACCCCACGGTGATGAGCGCCCCGCAGGGCCACAGCGCAGGCCCGCCCCAGGGGCCCGGCATCGCTGGCACGAGGTTCCCCTCTGGTGGCATTGCCTTTTCTGCCCAGAGCCCGGCCTTAGCTGCCCCAGGGGGAGGTCTGGGAGCCATCCAGGCCCAGGCGCCCAACGCAATCGTCATGAATCCCTTTGGAAGTGTCATGGCTCCGACCTCCGGCCAGCAACCCGTGGTGGTGGGTCTCAGCAAGGCAGGTGCTTCCACATCTACTGCTGCAGGGGGCTTTTATGAGTACAACAAGCAAAACGCCATCACTGCCGCCTCTCAGGCATTCGCCTCGGAGGGGGAACAGTCCAGCCAGCACGGCTTCCTTGCTGGTGGCACCCACACCGCCACCCCAGCAGCAGGGCCGCGCTATGAGAGTCACTTTGGGGCTCCCGGCCAGCTGCAGCACGAGGCGGCAGCGACATTTCCCAAGGAGTCCTACGGGGCAGCAGCACAGCACGGTGCAGCACGGGCCTTCCCCAGCGACCCACACACGGGCTCCCATCCGAAAGGAGATCCCGGCCCTGTCTTGCATGGCAGCAGTACAAGCAACCAGTGGGAAAATATCCCTAATTTCCCCAGCCAAAACAAGCCTGACCTCATGCCCGGCGACAGCCTGTGGCCGTCAGCGAGTCAGCAGCAGTATGAAATAAGAAACGAGTTGTACAACCCCGAAGAGCCGACACCTGACACAAAGTTCAGCACGGCTGCCCCCCCCTCCTTCGGCCGCCTCAACCACAGTGCGCAGAGCTTCGGCAGCCCTCGCATGAGGCAGAAGGAGGAGCGCAGTGGCGGCACGCCCGACCTGCCCACCCGCTCCCTGCCGCCGCACCAGCTTGGCGACCTCCGCGGCGTGGCCCCTCTCCACTTCCCCCACATCTGCGCCCTGTGCGACAAGAAGATCTTCGATCTGAAGGTGAGTGGTTTGAGGGCGTCCCTGGGCATGGGTCAGACCCTTGGACAGGCTGTCAGGTGACTGATCTGGCCACCAGCTCCTGCCACCCCTCAGTGCCAGTGTCCATCACCACAGAGGTGCCCTGAGAGACAGAGAAACAAAAGGCCTTAGTTTTGCTGAGGCCATGGTACATCTGTTTCATGGCAGTTACTGGGGCTTCGAGATCGGGTTTTGTTCCACATGCTGCCGTGAAAGATGGTGAGGTTACAGCACTGATGTGAGAAATGTGAGGTCTGAGCTGATGTCCTAGCTCACCTCGTGAGCCCGAAGTGAGGCAGGGAGGAGCCTGAAGCTGATCCCCCAATACTCAAGCTAGTGTTGCAAACCCATGTCTGTAGTTTCATCTGCTTCTCTTTTTCTGATCCCAAAGGCTTCTCCCTAACACAGCCTCATGGAAGCAGCTTTCTTAAACAAACCAACACATTTTTTTCATAAACTTATTTTAACTATTTCTCTGTAGGAAATTTTTCCTCCTTGTGTCTCACAAGAAAATTAGGTCTCAGGGTCCCCAGGGACTTTGACCCAAAAGCAAGAAGCTGCTCCGCACATGTAGTACAGACTGTGATCTCTCTCACTTTTTTGTTCATATTGCCAAGGGAGCTCCAAATTCAACCTCACCCTCAAGAAACAGCTTCCCAGTTTCCCAGGCAGTGTGTTGTAGGTCACGTTATTTAGGTCAGGTCTGGAGAAGGGCGCTTAAGTGGCCCTCTGAGCCCCACAGCCATCCATGGTTGTTCTGGCCTCCTGGTGAGCCCTGCTCAACAAGCGCTTGTGACCTTTTCTGTCACATCACAGGACCAGCACCTAACCACAAAGGCATGTGTTCTCATGCTGATGGTGGCCTGACAATAAAATTATAACAGCATGTGTGTAAGAAGGAAAATGACCAGCAGATTAAATACTACCTGATCCCTAAACAACCTGGGGATTTGGGGTATTTGAATATATTTGCTTTCGTGTTTACCTTTTACTCTTTTAGAAACTGCTTACAAAATGCTTTGCTTTGTTTGCTGCAGCTTGTGGTGCTGGGCTGAAGCAGACCCTGTCTAAAGCATGCTGGGCATTTGTTTTTTTCATTAACACTTAAAAAGTGCAGGGGGAATGCCATTACAGTGAGTTTCAGGAGATCTGTTAGTTGGTGTTTAATGCCCTGCCTCAATTGAATCATAGAAATGTAAATAGCTAAGTGTACTTTCACAAATGTTGCTGATCTAGTGAAATAATAAGCACTGTCCTGGCTGCCTTGAATACTGAACATGTTCTTTATGGACATTGCAGCAATTGAAGGTGCTTAGCACTTTGCAGGATGAGGTCTTCAGCAAGAATTAAATAGCTTCATTACTAGAAATACACTGAATTTAAAAGCTAATACAGAGAAGGTTTCCTTTTGTAAAATAATTGATAATATTCAGTTAATGAATCAGTAAATGCATTGGTTGAAGGTGTGCTTGGCTCTGACATCACATGGTTTCTTCAGCATCTCAGTATTGTTTTTAGAATAAGGTAAACTGAATGGAAGAATAATCTTTTGTAAATTTGTCTCAGGATATTTCCTGTGTTCATTGTCTCTTTGTTTCAACGTAGGACTGGGATCAGCACATTAAGGGAAGTCTTCACATTCAAAAATGTATGGCTTTTTCAGATAAGTAAGTATTATTTTAAAATGAATTCTTCAAACTGAATTTCTAACAGAATATCCCTTACTTCAGTGGTTTTCCACCAGGAATTTACTGCCTAACAATGAAGCTTTAATGTTTTTGGTATATCATGCATGTCGCTGAAGTTCTTTTCTTTCTTTTCCAGCACTGGTATCCGGTGTATGTTAAGCTCAGCAGATGGAACATTGCATTTATCGCCAAATAATGCAGCAGTTTTCAATCCATCAAGTATCGAAGGTGAATGATTGTATGTGCAGTAGTTAAAAACACTTTTTTTAATTGAAGGGGAAATGAGTCTCTGAGGAGAGCTGTGCTTTTAAAATGAAATGTGATAAAAGTTTCAAAGGAAACATTTTGAGAAGCTGTGCACAAAAAAAGAAAGCCAATACTGTGTCCTTTGAAATATGAATTTATTTTTCTTTCAAACAATAACTTGTTTTCATGGTACAACAAAACAGTGTATAATTTGGTGTAGAGACTATGAAATTATTTACTATGTAAATGGGGCATTGTTTACTGAGCACATTAATGCAATTAATATGAGCCAAGATTTAATGAAATGCGTGTAATCCATTATTTAGATTATCCACCAAATGTTGGCGCCTCTTTTATCGCTACACCAGCAAGATCCTTTGGCCAGCCAGGTCCTACATTTTCTTCTCCTCCATCAGGGGTAAGAGTGAGTACCTAAGCAAATTGATGTCTCTGTTTCTTGTAGAAGCCACTTCTGCTTACTAGAATTAAAACCCTGAAGGCTTTCTTTTAGGCAATAGTCTGAATATGAATGTTATTTCAACTTCCCTACAGTTCTTTTATGCTTTTGATTTTGGCCAAATATGAACTTGGTTGTAGTTTTTGTTTTGCTTTGTTTTTTCCAGTGCTAACAGATGTTTGCTTGTCAGAGTTATTTGGGGATGTTGGTAAATAGGTTTGTTGTGTTTTCCATTGACTTTTTTCCCCCATTATCTGAGTCTTTTTGACCCAGGAAGGTCAGCTTCAGCTTGGGATGAGGATTTGGATCAATTTTGAGTTACCTTTACTACTGAACCCATCAAGCAACCTACTATCTCTGTGGTTATTTGTACAATTGCTCTCTGCCTCTCTCACACTGAGGTCCTTCCCCCAGGTAGCAACAGTGGCAAGGACAGTGGCTGCAGCTTCACTGTTATTCTCCTGGAGCTCCCAGATCAGTTCATTATACTGGATTAGCTTTTCCTTAGTTTATTTTAGTGTAGTATTTATATCCTCTGCTGTCACTGGTAGCCTTTCAGCAAGTTTGTTTTGATGTGAAGCCTTCCATGGTTTAGGTTTATTAGTCCCTGCCTGCATTCAGCACAGGTACCCAGTTTTATATTGCTCTAATGCACACTTGAATTCCTAGCTCTATGTTTCTTTTTCTGCCAGAAAAAAGAACCAACATTAAAAAGAGTTCTTACACTAACAAAGCAGAAACATTTTAAAAGAGAAAAAAAAGGCAAATAAAAGCAAACCATATTCATAATGAAAATACAAAGTTGTTAGGGTTATGAAACTCGTAAAATGAAACTCATCACATATCAGAAAGCTACAACTAGAGCTGGACACACCAAAGACTTATGTTAGGGCGTTCATGGAATAGCAGCAGTAATCCAGGGGTTCAACTTTTCACCTTGTTAACTTTTATGTATATATCTCTCCTGATGTGGTCTCAGACACTGAAAAGCCAGGCTGAGTTGTGTCCCTGTGGCACTCCAGTTCATTGGAGTTCATCAGGCACTGCTTGCAGAAAGTTCACCCGGATTTCCTTAATCCAGCCAATTTTCTACAGTGCAGCTTTTACTGTGCAAGAGGTTATTTGAAGGGGTTTCAGCTTCTGCCTGTCACAGGCACTGTGAGTGCAGGCCAGCAAAGAGCAGAGCTGCTCATGACAGCTGCCTCCAAGGTCAGAGGTGGACTAGTAGTGGGTGCAGAGGAATGTTCCTTTTCATCATGTCTGTCAACTTCGCAACAAATGAAATCACTGCTAATACCAGTGTCATTTCTCTTTAGAATCTGTCACTATTTATCATTTAAGCTGCCTGAAGAAGTCCTCTTCTGAATGACCTGCAGTATTTTGAGACATAAAAGAAACAATAACTTTGATTTTCCTGGATGCTGTAAATCCCTTTTTTCTTTAGAAGCCTATTGGATGAACAGGGAGCTATATTAGAGGTGTTAAGACTGAGTTTGCCAGCTGTCATTCACTCTGCAACCCAGGTGGCTTATAATTTATTACACCTTTGCATGGTAGTATTCACTTTCAGCTAAGCTGCTGCCATTTAACTGAGCAGTAGGAGATTACACTTGACCCTGCATGTAATCATAAACAAAGTGTTCAGATTTCTGGAGGGGCTTGCTCTGTGCTGTCCATCTGCAAATAACTCTATCCCTCTGTAAAAGGCAAGTGCTACCAGTCTTCACTTGGGCGTGGTGAGCCATTAGCACTGCCCAGGGATGAGATTGGCAGTTTCTTACTATCTTTAGAAAAAAATTTCATGTGAAGCTCAAGAAAGGGATAAAGAATTTGAAAAGCAAGAAGCAACAACAACAAATGTAAGAAAACAGCTGTAATTAAAAATCACCAAATTGGATGAGTAAAATAATATTGTAATTAATATGAGGTACATTTTGCTGTTGTACATAATTTTTTTTAGATTTGTGGGTTTTTTTTAATAGCCACGCAGCTGCATTGGTAACCCCTGGTAGACATTGGTTGCCAAGAAAGTTAACTTTGAGTATTACTGAAAATTACATGCAACACCTGGCATGTAACAGCTTCTCTGACTTCCTGATTGTAGATATGGAAAGGGTATATTCCTTTTCTGGCCATGATTTACAGCTCTGTTTAATGAATGGATCCAGTTTAACTGCAATCAGCTGACAAGGTTATTGCTTGGTGCAGCCTGTTGGCTTCTGGCACGAGTATGTGACCACTTCTTAATCAAGAACTACAGCAGGTTTATGACATAGCATTTTCATTTAAGCCATTGCCAATTGTGGGGAAGTGGCAATGTCTTACAGTTGTTTGATTTAATGTACTGAGGGCTGTGTGTGGGAACGTGGGCTCTGAAGAGCTGAGCCTTTCTAGTCCAATTGACTCTTACGTGTGATCTTTTAACAGATCTAACAAAACAAACAGAAGGTGATTGGTGATCTGGAGTGTTCTTACACTGGGACTATATTTGCTGTTTCCTTTTTCTCCAGCTGTAGCAGTGTTCTTCTGTGCTACATGCTGCCTTGCCAGATGTGTGCAGACATCGCTACCTTGTCTGTTCAATTGGAGTTGAATTGCTTCATCTTTTTTTCAGGATCAGGTCTTTGTTATTTTTCTGCCAGAATAAAAACCTAAGTTCTGGATTTTTGCACTTCTCTTTTGACTTGCCTTACACACTTGAGTGGGCTCTGTCAGGTGCAAGCTCAGTAGCAGATCACTGTGTAATGCAGGGTTCTAATGCAGTAAAAATACACAAATGGTTAAGTGGTGAAGTCTGAGGGGAAGGCAACAGGATGGAGGTGTAAATAAGATAACATTAGCTCTGTAACTTGTGAACTTGCTGACAAGCCAAACATTTGTGATGGCTCTGGTAAACTTGATCCCACAAGATTACATGATTTGCATCTTCCCTTGAATGGCGCAATTTTAAATGAAGGTAGAGTTACTTCTTCAGTAAAATTCTAATGGAGAGGTCATAAACATGGAGGTAGCCTGGAAAGATTTAATCCTGTGTGAGTGACGTTTTGCTTGTCATTAGCTATGGTAAATTAACATTCTCTCTGGCTGTACCCTGATGCCTTTTGCACAGGGAGTGTAGAGCCTGCTTCCCATGCCAGGGAGATGGGCAGCTCTTTCAGGACTGCCCCAGCACTCCAAAATAGACTTCCACCCTTGGGAAGTGATCACCACTCCAGTGCTCTGTGCCTTTGCCAGCCCAGTTTGGGAGTTCTGCCTCTCTGCATGTCCACTGCTCACTGTGTCCCCAAGGGGAAGTCCTTCTTCCTGTGTGTTGTTGCAGTTAGAGGGAAAAGTAGCAGGTTTTCTAACCCCAGGTACAGCTATGTGTCCTCTCTCAAGTCAGGTGGGATAACTTTTACCCCCCACCCAGTGTGTTCCATGAAGAAGGATTTAGATTTAGTCCCTGCTATCCTGAACACTCACGCAGTGATTTCCAATATCCATAAATTCAGCAAGGACTGCAGTGAGTACTTAGTTTTTGCAGGAGTATTGTTGATCCTGTTTGAAGGAGGTGTCTGCCTTCTAGAAATCCTCTCTGGACTTTTCAAAGTCCAGGAACGGAGACTCCATTGGACTGCAGCTAAACATTTCCATTTCCATTTGTAATTCTAAACCAGGATTGTAAAATGCAAGTTTTAAAGAATATTTTTTCTTAATAGCAGGTGAGCAGAGCATATAATTTTTTTGCAGAAATGTAAGATGTTATCTAGTGGAGAGAATATCTAACATACAAACATTGGTTTAAGTTGGGTTTTTTTCCCCCAGTTTCCCCAGAGGAAATCTACATTGGGTCGAGTTGTCCACATTTGCAACCTCCCGGAGGGAAGCTGCACAGAGAATGATGTCATTAACCTGGGCCTCCCATTTGGAAAGGTCACCAACTATATCCTCATGAAATCTACTAATCAGGTACTGTACATTTGGGGTTACCAGTGTTGACATCTGTTGGCCAAAAAAGGTATAAAGACATAAACATGAAGACACAGTCTTTGGGGGGAAGCCTCTGATTTAGTAATAGAAACTTAAATACATGAAGTCTGCTCTCAAAGTGGAAAAAAGGTTGGTGGTCACTGAATTACATGAGGATGTAAACATGACCACATCTAAACAAGTTCTTGTTTAAAAATCCTGGCAATCTCAATGAAAAAGTGTTGTGAATCTGTACTTCTACTAATTTTTTTAAAAAGTGAATTACTCCCTGCCTTCTCTCAGCCATTTGTTAGGGTTACTTCAGATTTTTCTTGTTTTTTATAGTAGCTTAAGTATACTCTAAGTATCTTAAGTGTACCAGTGGTGTAAGCTGGTAAGAATAGAATATCTTCTCTCACATTCCTGCAGCAGACAAAATGGATGGATGTAGAATCCATGCTGGTGGAAAATGTTTGAGATTGTAATGTGTAAAAATCACAGAATCATAGAATGGTTTGGGTTGGAGGGGACCTTAAAGACCATCTAGCTCTAAACCCCTGCTGTGGGCAGGGACACTTTCACTAGAACAGGTTGCTCAGAGCTCCATCCAGCCTGGCCTTGTATACTGCCAGTCAAGGAAGATTAGATACCAGTCATTTCATTTGTAACTGAACCATCTTCTAAGGTGACATATTGGCTTTAATAGCTGGTTTGAAACCATTATTTGCAGTTAAAGAAAAAATGAGAAATGGACAGAGTATTATAATTTCAGTTTCAGGCCTGGAAAGCTACCCAGTTTTGTACTGTCAAGACATTTTGCATGAGAAGCATCCAGAGAAAATTTATTATGCTGCCTTTTCTCTCTTTTACTTTGTATTCTTAGTTATGTAATAGATTGTAAAGTTCTCTCCATTTGTGCTAGGCCTTTCTGGAAATGGCTTACAGTGAAGCAGCCCAAGCCATGGTACAGTACTACAAAGAAAAACCTGCTATGATAAATGATGACAAATTACTTATTAGGATGTCTAAAAGATACAAGGAATTACAGCTGAAGGTAAGATGGTCATTCTTGATCAAATTATATGAGTTTCCATGGCATATCTGGAGAATACATTTTAAAAGATTCTTGCTGATTACTGATTTCTAATTAATGCTTCAATATGATGGGGAAAGAAATAAAGATAAATTAAGCAGTGTATATTATTGATCTTTTACACTTGCTCTTATTCTAAATTGTAACTCTTGGAAGAGACACCATTTTCTATGATCCTTTCATACCATTATTTCAAAAATCCCTTCTGAACTTCCTTGTGGGCAGACTCCTTGGTCTAACAAAGATCTAAAACACAGCCATGTGTAAGATACAACATGTCAGCAAAAATAAGATGGTTCTATCCTTTTAGTCAGGCATTAAGCCCAGAACAATATTGTTTTCACTGCTTCCATGCCTGAGCCATAGCAGTCTTGACACCAAGCAGTGGTAACAGGACTAAACAGAATACTGATTTCTTTTTATTTCTTGTGAATGACCTAAGTTATAAAGCATGAGAGTTTTTTTCTTTTAACATAGAGTCAGACCAGAGCAATATTATTTAGACTTTCTGTAGAGTGTGTGACACTTCTGTTCTGGACACTTGAGTGATGTCCAGAGATCACTGCTCTTGTGAAAGTATTTATAGAGGCTTATATACTGTCATGTAATGCTAAGAGAGTAATTTTATTTCATGGTGACTTGGACCAGAACTGGCAATGCAGAGCTTAAGAGCTCCATATTGTATTACCTAACACAGCACAAAGTTATTTTGTAGAGCAGCTCTGTAATGTTCCAATTTAATGTTAAGAGTCCTTTATGAGCCTTGGGGAAAAAAAAATAAAGGAACTCAGATAGTTTGGCTTGACCTTTGGAAAAGCCTCTTTCTTTCCTGTATGTATATACTAGCTTAAGGAGACTTAAAATGAGTTGCCAAAAGTTCATAAATCAGGGCAGACTTTCCTAATGTGGCATAGGGAGGGGTTCAGATGTTTGGTGGTGGAGATTGACAGAGAGGCAGGAGTTACCCAGAAAAATGTGATAGTTTGCCTAGATTCCAGGAAGATTTTTCTGCTTTTCCAATGACAATTTTCCAGGTCATGGAATCATTTTGCTTTGCAAAAGAAAGCAAGCAAATAAAAATACCAAGAAGGAAATACTCATGAGCTAGCACATACTGCTACAAACTGCTGAGTTCCTGCATGATTATGTTGCTCATCTGTGTGTGCTCCAAGTGTTTGAGGAATTGTGAGCACTCTAGCCTGTGTAGGGCATCCTACCTAGGAGTAATCAACACCCCAGGATACATCTTGCACTTAGCTTGTCTGAAGCTCTCCTTGTCTAAACATAGTCCTTTAGAGCTATAATCCAGAATGAATAACTCTGAGATCAAGAGAAGGCAGTTCATACCTAGAGGATCAGAGAAAGGCTGCTCTACATATTTGATTCTGTATCAGAAAAATTGTCTGGTTTGTTTCCTCTTAGATCCAGTTCCTAGAAAATGCTCTGTAGTGATTGTGTAACAAGGTTTGAAAACAAGCTAGTTTACAAAGCCTGTTAGAGCAGCCAAATATGAGGAGAGACTACTACAACGTAATGGAGCAAATTTTCCATTTGTATCATTTTACTGCTTTGATCGTGCTGTTGAGAAGGCAACTGCAAAAGAGAGTGTAACCACAACACTGAAACTAAGTATTTCTAGTTCTAGAATAATTCAGTGAAGCATGGATACTGTTTCTTGAAGGACAAATCACCTGTGTCAGCTTGGAGAGTAGGGCAGCATGCTAAACAGTGTCTTTGTTTATTTTAGAAACCGGGTAAGAATGTGGCTGCTATTATCCAGGACATCCACTCGCAGAGGGAGAGGGACCTGCTGCGTGAAGTGGACAGGTAAAGTTTCTCCAAAGTTTGGAATTGAAAGTCTGTAAATCTGCAGATATAAGGAGCATTATCTGTGTGCTTCCCTCTCATATTTAATTTTCATTACTAACTGGGATTTCACTTATAATATAGTATCTGTTTTTATACAATTCAATAGTTGGTACAGGGCCTGTATAATGAGATCCAATTGAAACTGTGCATGTTATGAAAATAATTCTTTCCTACTGATTGTGTCTCAGAAGATATGTCTGGCATGTGAAGAGCTTAAAAATGAAACTTTTCCACTCTCCTCCCTGTTGACTGAAAAGCATAAAGGCTGGGGGTGCTTTGAGACCAAGTGGGAAGGAGGCAGTTCAGATTAAAATGTATTTGGGTACATTTCTGATATCTCTGACTTCTGGAACTTTCAGCAAAATGGGAGAGGAATCACAGTCCAAAAACATCTCTTTTAAACAGGTGGTCTTTGTCACTTCTGTGTCAGAGATGCCCTAGCTGAGTGAGTATTGTGGGTATACACATTAGGGTCATTGTAAAGGTATTAACATATTATAAGCTTTTAATGCTAAACCCTTATGAGATGCTTTTAAGAATGAATGAATATATTCTTGACAGTTCTGTAGGGATTTAGTTAAGCTCTGTGGCTATGACACTGCCTTTTCTCCTGTTCACTGTTTGCAGCTGTGCAGTGCATGTCTGTGAAAGGCCTGGGGTCTCAGGTTCGCAGTCCCCAGGGCAGTCCCCATGAGCCTCCAGTGTACAAGAATTGGTAGACAGCAGTGGGTCAGCCAGTTTCAGTAGCTGCCTTTTCCCCCTGCAGCAGGTACGGCGCCGAGAGGCCCCGCTCCCGCAGCCCCATAAGCCGCTCGCTGTCACCCCGGTCGCACACGCCCAGCTTCACCTCGTGCAGTTCTCCGCACAGCCCGCTGGGGACCAGCAGGACCGACTGGGGAAATGGGAGGGACGCGTGGGATCAGTCCCCCTACTCTCGACGGGAAGAGGAAAGAGATAGCAGAGAATGGCGAGAGAATGGGGATGAGAAGAGGGACAGGACTGACACGTGGGTACACGAGAGGAAACATTATTCCCGACAACTGGACAAGTTTGATTTGGATGAACGGCTTGAAGGAGGCAGAGGACACCGAGAAAAATACTTAAAGACTGGTTCCCCTGGATCCCTTCACCCTTTGTCTGGCTACAAGAACAGGGAAGATGACTATTACCGAAAATCCTCGAAGTCAAAATCTGACAAGTTTCAGAGGCAGCTGCAGGATTTACCTGGGAGATCTAAGAGGAAGGAAGAGGCAAAGTTAAGGGAACGCAGGCATTCTTACAGCGAGGACACTGCCAGGGATGAGGCAACTGAACAGAAGCACAGCAAAGCATCTGAGGGCTCCAGGCAAAAACAAAGTGATAAGAATAAGGTGAAGAAAGCTGAAAAAGACCAAGAAGATGCTACTGCTGAAGGCAGTGATGTAAGGGAAACCAAACCACCTGAGAACGAGGTAAATAGAGATCTAAAACTATATGTAAGAGGAAGTGTAAGTGGTGAAGTAATACATTTTCTGAAATATCTTAGAGAATTTGTTGTGGGTGTGATGCTAGCAATGTGAAATGTTTTTCCATGATGAAATTAAGGAATGTAGTCACAGAAGAAGTCTTGGGAGGCCATCTTGTCCGTGTTTTTGCCCAGACCATGCAGATCTATTATACTCTTGTGGTTTTGGTTATATAGGCATTATCATTTTGTATCTAGCATAGAACCTTTGGGTAACAAATGAGGGGATGGGGTCAGACAGCTGCAAATGAAACCAAGTGACAGTCTGCTATTTGCATGCAGGTTGTGTGTGAAGAGGCAATTGTCCTCCTCCTAACTTTGTGCAGAATGCCCCATAGCAGCTCTTTCTGCATCCATCACCTGCTTCTGCTGCCAGTGAGGAAGATTGAGTTATCTGGAAATTAAGTAATACTTTAAAGAGGTGCACAGTATTTATACAGGGAAGTGGTTGCTGTACTATTAAAATGGAGAACGAACTTTTAATGAGAAACATTTCTTTCTGGATAACTCAACAGAGCAATTGTTTCTATGAATCATGTGTGCCTACCCTCAACTGTGGCTGGCAGGGATAATTCACACCACTCCCTTCAGTGTTCTGGCAGAAATCTCTTCCCATGACAGAAACCACTGAATCAGCTCACCTATAAAATTATGCAATCTCTGGAGAAATACTTCCAGTGGTAAAGTGGCAATGTTTGTGGGTTTGATTCTCCACTGGGAAGAAGTAGGAGGGGGAACACATCCAGATACCTCATTTGCTCGGTCTCAGCACAGCCCATACTCACATCCCCACCCCTTGGGGATCTGGTTACTGGCTCTTGGCCCCCTTGCCGCCCCTGGAGTCCCCCAGGGATAGCTGCTGCCATCCACCCCCAGGTCTGTTGGCACAGGAGCCTGCAGATATGCTTGGCTGACCTGGGCTCCATCTCTTGCTTGTGCCTTTGTGCTGCCAGGGCCATTGTCGGTTGGTTCCAGTTGAGCTTCTTCTCCTGAGGGGCTAAGTTGGTGGAATTTCCTAGATTTGTAACTCTCTAGTCTGTAACCAGCAGCAGCACTGCCTCATGCCATAGATAAGCATGTTTGTACCACCTTTTATCATCTTTCTCCTTTGGCTGGTATTTTACTATGATGTGTGGTTTCCTGGGAGGAGATGTCAGAGAGAAATGTCAGACAGCATCCCAAATCAAACTCCTCTGCATGTTTTCCAAGTTGTTTTACAGTGGCTTTGCTAAAGACATACCTCTCGGGGGACTATTGCTAGTAATTTATTTTAAAAGGAAAAAATAGTTTTGTATGTCTTGGACTCATTTTTGCTTTGTCCCCCTTTTACTAAGTATGAGGTAGTACTGTGGTTTTGTTCTTCCCAAGTATGAACAGTACAACCAATTCCATTTTCAACTGATCCTGTGTCAATAAACAAAACAGTTGAGGTCTTCTGCAGAGTTTAACACTGCTGCTCTCCTTACCACATCTGAGCCAACATAACAAATGTGGGTAGAGAACAGAAGAGCGGAGGCTGGAAATTTTAATGAATTGACATTCTCCCCCACCTGTCTTTCAGCCAATTCTGTGATATAAATTACACCTCTAATTTAGTTTAAAATTCTTTTTCTTAATTCTTATTTGTACAGCTCTGCTAACGGAATTTATTGTTGGGTCTTTTCCCACAGCCTAGTTGACTTGCATAAACTTTAGAAATAAAGAATGTGACCTTGTGAGTGACTTTGCTTCTCTAAACCCAGAATAGAAACATACTAGAGCACCACTGTGTGTTGTATACATGTATATGTATTTATTTTAGCTTGAAAATGAGGAGCAAGTTCCAGTGAAGAGCTCACCTTCAGATAATAAACAAGGAAAAGAATCTGGAGAGATTCTGGAAAACACAAGGAAAGAAAAGGTTGGTGACACATTGTTGGTGTAGCTTCTTTGAGAAAATGATTGAAACCTCAGGTTTGGTAGAATGTCCTCCCAAATTAAATATTAACCTCTCATGAAAAACCACATAAAGGGGTTGGATGAAGGAGGTTATCAAAATTAACTTGCCTTATTTTGACCTCTGCTTTAAGGGACAGCTTTTCCTGAAGTCTCCAGAACTCTTTTTTTAGTTACTCTTTGCTCATGTACATTGCTTCACATACATAGCACTTGGCAGTGGCAGCTGTGAGGAATGTATGCCCAAGTGAGCTGGGTAACTTGGCAAACTGTGCCCAAAAATAGGAGATGTGGTCAGTTAGTGGGGAAAGAGGGGAGATATGATGAATACTTCTTAGAACATTGGCCTTCTGAACTATAGATAGCAGTCTTCTGATTGTTTCTGGTTTTAATTAAATAATGCCTTTACAGCAGCCCTACTGCTGCATTGCAGTCGGGGACAGCAATGTCCCTGGAATTCCTCCAGCTTCATTTCTGTAGGGTCATGGGTTGATGGTCAAATATGGAAGATATTGATATCTGTCGCTGCAGAAAACTGATCTCCTGGCAAGAGCAGTGCCAGCTCACAGAGTTTTCATGCTGTTTTAGGATTCTAGGAGGGGAAGTGTGGGAATGGCCAAACAGGAGGAGAATACAGATTATTAATAGATTGTGTGTACGCAAGGAGTCTGGGAGTTGAAATCTAAGATGCAAGTGTGTCTTAAAAGTGAGATATACCTTTTAATTCTAAGACTTCCCAAGTCCAGTATTAGTGCCTAAGTCCTGTAAGTCTGAAACTGCATGTATGAGGTAATTCAGAATATGTGCCTTGGGGTATAACTGTAAACCTGCTTTTTTTCCTAAAGTTTAGGCCAGTGGCTCCCAGCACAGTCCCTGCCAGAGGGATCTTGCTGGTGGAAGGAAATGACTGCAGAAGGAAGCCATGTTTTCTCAGTCACCATGTGAATTTAAAGGACCTGGTCCAGGAAAGAGAAAGCCACAGTGGCTTGAATGGGGTTCAGTATATTTTCATTGCACTGAGAAGGAGGCAGAGGAGGGGGATCACACAGTAGCATCAATTGGATAACAAAGTGTAACACATTGTGCCTTGCTCTACTGCTTACAGAAAAGCAAGGAGCAGGGGACTGGAGAGACTGCAATCCCCGAGGCAGTTACAGAATCTTCACAAAGAGAAGTTTATGTGATAATTCAAGAGATTTTTTTTGTCCTTGTGCATGAGATTTAAAATCACAGCACCAAGGCATATCACTCTTTGAAACTAAAACACAAGAGGAGTTAGACATGGTCATATCAAGGTTTTTCCTGGTTTCAAGGACCACTTTTTACAGTGATTAACTATAATCACCAATCTCTCAAATGTTTTACATCTGTGACAGGACCGAGACTGGGAGAGTGGAAGTGAAATAGAAGGTGAGACCTGGTATCCTGCTAACATGGAGGAATTAGTGACAGTAGATGAAGTGGGAGAAGATGATTTAATTATGGAGCCTGATATAACTGAGCTTGAAGAAATAGTCCCAGTTGATCAGAAAAATAAAGCTGCTTCAGAAATGTGTCCCTGTATGTCAACCATGTTAGAACTGAAAAACGATCACAGCCACTTAACAAGAAGTGACGACAAATTTGCCCATAAAGCTTTAGAAACAAACTTCAGAACAGCAAAGGGCAGTGCAGCTTCTAGTGGCTGTCAGGAAGATGATGAGGATGATGATAATGATGATGCTGTAACTGAAGCATCAAGCCTAAATCTGGACCCTGAACAGAAGCCAGAGGAGTTGAAAGAAGACCAATCTGCTAAGGAGTCTGATTGCCAGCAGAAGGAAGGAAAAATTGATAAGAGCTCTGACACTCGTTTAGAGCCTGAAGATCACCAAATACCTTCTGTTCATCTGAAAGAAGAGACTCTCCAGCTCCCTGATACATTTATAGATGATTACAAACAGATGGGATCACAAGGAGCTGAGAGCAGAGAAGTTACGGAAACGCTCATTAAAAACGCTAGTGAAGAAACAAGACATGGAAGCCAAGAGTGTCCAGAGGCCAAGGGTAACTACTGCTTTTTTTCCCTTCTGCCTGCAGAGAGCCTTGCATGTTTTCTCTGAGGGTAGACTGAAATTTATTGCTAACAAGAATAAGTGTCGTTAATAGTATCAAGGCTTGCCCTTGGAGCAGCTTAGTAAAAGAACCCCAGTGCCTTCGGCCAAGCTAAATCATTAGAGCCTCTTAGATGAATAGTGTAAAGGAAATATGATAAGCAGCTTGCAAGCTTTCTGAAAGGCATAAGCTGCTATAATTGTCACGTCAAGGTTCACATGAGTTTAGCTGAAGTCTTTCAGTGCCTTGCTAAATTTATTTTGAATTGTCAATGAAATGAGTGACAGTCTCTGAAGGTCAACAGAAAAGTATCTGTAATGTCTGGCTGGCTCCTGGACAAGGTGGGTATTCTTACACACTGTACTGAAGCATTTTTAATATGGATATCATGCATAGATTGTTACTTCTCAGTCCCTGTTCATGCAAATATATGCCTTTTGCCAGGACTTGCCTTATCATGTCCTGTTCTACTGCATGCTGCCTTTAATATAACTGATAGGATGTGCTGTGAGATAATGTCAATAAATGTAATCATAGCTACCTATTTATATTTGTCAGGAAAAAAGGGATCTTGAGGCCTGAAAGTCAGTTCAGTTCCTTATCATGATACTTGAAAAATGGGCTGTGCATAGTGAGATGAAGTGAAAAATTATGTTGAGTATGTTGGTCAGAAATGCTCTTTTTTAATTGCTGCCAGAGCCCATGTGATGGACAGGGGCTTTTGAAAAGAAGCTGATGGAAGATTTTTGAGAGTGCAATGCTGGAAGCATTTCATGTGAGCATCTGATTTTGAGCTAACTTCTTCCTCCAGGACAGATTTGAAACTCATTGGTTTTTAATACTTGCCTGATTGGCCTGAAGACACCTTGCCAGACTTTGCATGTTTGGAGATAATATTGCCATGGGACTGGGCAGGGCAAAGTTGGCTCTCCTGGGCTTCCTGGGCAGCCAGCTGATGAAAGAGTTGGGTGTCTCAAGAGCATATTTACTAGTGTTTCCAGCATCTCAGCTTCCAGCTTGTCAGCAGGGAGCCTGGAAGCTCCAGGGCCTCTCATGCTTCCCAGGTTTCAGACATGGACTCGTTATCTGGGATCTGCTATCCAAGGCTCTAGGCCCTCTACCAATGCAGCTGCCAGCTCAGAAGCACAGAAATCAACTGAAGTGGGGCTTCAGTTGCTGCAAAGGCCCTGAGTGGTTAAGCTTACCAGCTCACTGGGGGTCTTCCAGCTTCTACTGCAGTAATGGAATCCTGGGGTAGGTTTACATTTAACTTGAAAGCCAACCAGTTAGGATTTTATATTATTTTCTTTTAAATCATGCAATAGACGTATTTAAAAGTGAAGAAAAATTCATTCTCATAGCCAGAAACTGTAGGTCTTTGAACTATAGACTTGAAAGACAGGAAGGGTTTGGTTTGGGCAAAAACATGTTTGTTTTATAAGAAAATATATCCCTTATTTAGATGAAATTTGCAATGCAATAGAAATTTTGTCAGGGCAAGTGAGGTAGTTCTTTGATGTAAGGACTGAAAAAGAGGAATCAGACCAGTTTATCTGTATTTCTGTAGCTCTGTGATAGCAAATTCCTCTTATTTTAAAACAAAATTAATTCATATGTTAGCAATCATGGGAAGGGACATCATCTGTTCTTTTGACTGGCTATATCTACCTCAGCAAACCAACCCAGTGTTTCCACATCTTGAATCTCCTGCTGTGTCAATTAGTGTCAGCCAGCAGGGGCCAACCATCCCATCCCTACTATTTAGAAACCAAAATCTTTTAGTGGCCGGGAGCCATAAAGCAGGAACTATCCCTTGGAGAGATGAGGATGGGAGGAGTGACTCCAGGGAGAAGATGCCAATGATGCTGCAGGGATCCTACAAAAGGCAGGTTTGGAGAATTGTATTCATCAGGTCCTGGTGCCCCCACCGTCCCATCTCAGCACCCCTGTGTCAGCCCAGCTGCAGCACTGATCATGCAGTAATATATGTGGCTACAAAGCTGCAGTCAGGCCATGCTTCTGCCAGAGGTGTGTAATGTTATAGCTCTGTTTATAGACTAAAATACAAAAACCCCTCCAAACATAGCATTAAATTAGAAATAGAAAAATGGTCTGCTGGGAGAAAGCAGAGTGACTGCACACCATAGTACAGCTGCTGGAGTTGCACTAAACAGGCCTCTGATTGGAATGGAAAAGCATTTTTTTTCCTGATTTTACTTCATTTATAGATCCACCCAGAAAGTGTTCCCAAGAAGCTTACAAACGTCTCTTTAATAAACTGTTTTCATTCAATGCATTTATTCATTTGTTAAGCAAATTCTAGGTACTTGGAAATGAGATCTCTGGAATTCCCGGAGGTAGAGCCTAAACAAAGGCCCTCTGCAGCAGGCTGGGAACAAGAGGACGTCTTCACCGAGCTCAGCATTCCCCTGGGTACGTTGGGCCGCCCCCTGCAATACCCAGGGCTTACAACAAGATGTCACTTTAAGGCTATTTGCTATATTTATTTCTCAGAGCAGATGTGGGGAGAGAAGGAACAGAGTATATGACAGACGGGTAGCTGTTGAAAGAAACAGCCTTTTGATTCTACATCATTGCTAATTCATTCCAAATGAATGGCAAAAGGCAGCTGATGAGATGAAATAAGTTTCTTTGGACTATATATGAAATACATATGAAAAATTACTTAGTAATTTAAAAGTCTTTGGCATAAAGCATAAACAGAAGTATTGGCTTTACTGTGTAAATACTGATTATGAGCAAAACACCTGGAAGAAGTACATCCTCAAAAGCAATCTGTGTAACTTGATGTATTTACTGCTAAACAGTATTATTGCCTTTCTAGCCCTTGAGGTTTCAGAGTGAAGTTTCCAGTCAATATTATGACAAAATAGATTTTAAAGCATGTATATCTAAGAGAAAAGGTGTGTTTTCAATACACAAGATTTTAAAGTGCAGCTCAATATTGCAAAATTAGGGAAATCAGAGAAGTGATTCAGGATTCAGTCTTCCTATTCTAATATTTAACTAAATAGCATGTGTTTTTCTTTGAAAACAAGTTTATTATGAGAGGAATAGGATTTCACTGACACTTTAATGTAATTCAGAATTTCTCAACAGGCGTGGAATTCGTGGTGCCTAGAACTGGGTTTTACTGCAAGCTCTGTGGACTCTTCTATACAAATGAAGAGACAGCAAAGACAAGTCACTGCAGGAGTACTGTTCACTACAAAAATCTCCAGGTAAAAACACACCTGAAGCTACCTAACAACAAGCTTGTAGAATGGTTTATGTGTAAGGTAGATGATGTGATAAAAAAATAGTTTTTAGTCTGTAGACAGAATTCAGATGAAGCGAAATTCAGGTAAACAAACTGTTCAGTAGTTCCAATCATTAGCATGCTAATTTCTCACTCTCAGGTCCTTGAAATCAACTTCTGGATCATAGGTAAAAAGAGACTTCTCTTCACATTTGGTCCTTGTGACTAGCACAGCATGCAAGTCAGATCTTTAATTCCCTGTTTCAGAGGGTCCCAGATGTTTCTGTCACTGGGAGTGACCCCAGCAGTAGCAGTGTTCAGTACATCTTAACATCAGAAGCATTAAACATGGCATTTGTCTGATAACAGAGGCAGAGCCATTTCTGTGTTGGTGTGGGTTCTCAGCGTGTTTCAGCTCGCAGCTCTCTGTGACACATGGGCTCTGTCAGGCATTTCCTGTGACCTGCTGAAATCCCCTCCCTGTGTGCAGAGCAGCCCTGCTGGGTCATTTCCATCGGGATGTGCAGGAGCATGTCAGTGCTTGTTGCTCCCTAAGAATGTAACAAAAACATGTCAGCAGTTGGTAACAGCACAGGGAGACCATGTGTGCCTGCAGTTCAATCAAAGACCCGCCTTTGTCACTTTTGAGGGGCACCATCAATAGAATCAGTCACAGCAGCCTGAGCATTGCCTGTCCCATGCTCAGGGCTCCTCAGGGGCTCCCAGCCCCAGTCCTGCCTGTGAGCAGGGTGTGTACACTACAAACACTCTCCTGCTGGCATTCTCATACTCTTAGCAAAAGTCATGGCAGAACAAAGCAGGGCTGCTCCTCCTTTCTCTGCTCCTTCCCTCTGCCCACAGTAACTGCAGTAACTCTGCTCCTGTTCAAGTAATAGCTTTCTTTCCTTAGCTGGCTAGTAGGCATTGACACTCACAGTCAAGTAATTTCTCTGGGAGAATTTTCTTCTTGGTTTCCCTGAAGTTCCATGGCTGTAATTATACCAAGGCCTCTGGCTTCCAAAGGCTTCCTACAGAGCTCTGATGCTTGCTCATAATGGACCCTCTAAGTGCAAGCTTGAAAAACAGGTGCCAAGTTTGCATTCCTTTTTTTGCTTCATACAAAAAACCCAGAGGGATTCACCAGAGGTGGTACCACACAGTGCAGGCCGTGTATCCCATGCAAGTCTGTCCCTAAGAAACTCATTCTAAAGAAAGATTGCAGCTCCTGCCCCTGCCCCTGGAAACTGGTTCCATGCAAAGAAGAGGGATTTTTCTTTTTTAATTTTCTAACTTATTTTGTTAAAGTCATAAGAAACAGGCCCAACTAAAACTGACTTAGTGTGAAAATAACCTCTTTTTCTCCCCATTAAGACATTTCCCATGAGTACTGTGGTAGATAGCTAACACTGACTTGAGATAAAAGAACAAAGACTATAAAAGCTGTTAAAATTAAATCTGCCAAATGCAGCAATAAAAACAGGCTGTTCTGTCGAGCTATACCTCTTATCTTGCTACATACAGGAAGTAAATGTCTTGTCCAACTTTTGCCTGCTCAAATGGAAACTTAGCAAATTTAAAATCACTGTTCTATGCTGCTAGAACCCTTTTAGTCTCCATAATGATCTTTTATGCATTCTGCAAGGAATATGAGGCTTCTCCTGTGATGATGCATGTTAATGAGTGTATCCACCAATGTAGGAACTAGGGACTCTGTAGTGCAGCTATGGGAGTGCTGCTGCAGTGTTCCTGTTCTCCTTCCTGAATGCCAAATGCCATCATCCAGTGACAACAACAGTGTCCCAAATTGTGTCACAGCTTTGAGTCTTTTATAGCTGATTTGCTACTTGTTGTCTCTCATGTGATCTCCTTGAGCCACATCCAAAATATATGGTCAGTGTTTGGATTTGGATGCAACACTGAACAGCTTGTTTGCCAATTTTCTTCCAAACGCCTTGTTTATATGGTGATAGTTTTGTCTTGAAGTAAAGTAGTCAACTTTATCTAACTATGATGCCCCTCAAATAATATCAATCACTGATTAAAAAAATCAGCTGTTTCTTTGCCAGCCTTGCAGACTTTGTGTAATTTTTAATTCTCTTCATCATAATAAATTATTTTCCCAGGTGATATTTGTATTTACGGAGACACTGCAATTCCCATGTCGAAAAAAATCCGTATTTTTGCCATCCCTTCCTCCACTTCCTCCAGCTACCATTCATCTGGTGGAAGCTACCTTGGCAACTCAGTGCAATATTTCATCCTGTTTTCCACTGGCTTTATGCAGTATTTGTCAAAAATTGTATTTAAATGAAAAAACATACATTTTTTTACTTGACTTCCATTTTGCTATATATTAATCTGAATCTCAAATTTCAAATCTGGTGTTTGTGGTACTCATGACAGCTGGCAAAATCAGCTAAAGGTAGTGGATAGAACTCAGTCTTACTTTGGTCGGTGCTCATGAAAAGCCCCAAAAGCGTGGGTTATCTGATGCAGGGACAAGTGTTAGTGATTTATTACAGTTCACGCTGTACAGAACACGTCTCCCTGCCTTTATGGTCCCTATATCTCTGTATACTACTGTAACATTTACTCTGGCTTTTTGCCACGTGGAATTTTGCACCTGGAGATCAGGCCTGAGAGTTGTGTAATTTCCACAGCCCAGTCTCTCTAGTCAGAGTAATAAGGGTGCAGTCCATGGGTATGTCCATTCATTACCATTGCTGAGTAACTTTCAGATGAACCTCTTATATTCAAAACTTGTATTTATCTGAGAGAATGTGGCAATTCTAACACAGCCCTTAGGATTTTTACAGCCATTTCTTATTTAATCTCTTCCCCATGGATTCCAAAGAGTAAACTGTACTCTGGGGAAATCCTGCAAGTAGAGAATTTTGCAGTGATGTGAAAGAACCTTTTCAAAATAAATCAGAATGAGTAAATAGCTAGAAAGGAGTTTTATGATCCTAATAATGTGTAGATCAGTTATTCTTGAGTATGATGAAGGTGATGTGTGTAAATCATTAAGAAGAATACCTCTACATTATTATGTTGGAATTTCCCAGGTGTCTCTGCACTAGCTGTTGTTGAAAAAGTTTCTTTCCATCCATTTCTGTGTCTGCTGACCTTGAATAAATAGTTTGAGCACTGTTTTGAGACCCATACTCATTCATCATCCATTTTGTGTGCAGCTTTGCCAACTAAGAGCACTGCCAAAAGGCTGAAAGCCTCACTGGCCATGTCTGTTCTTTAAATCTCAGTGAGTACCCAAAGCAGTGAAAGGCTTTATCTTAGAGAAACACAATAAAGGTAAATACTCTAGCCAAATTGCTAAATTGTGTTGATTATTACTGAGTGTGATTATTCCCTTAAAACAAAATGTTCTCATACAAAAGGTGTATCTCTGAGCTGGACATGCTGAAAATATAATATATAAACTTTAAATCAAGACTCTGAAATCACATTTATGTTCTGACACACCAGAATTCAGTTGACTCAGTGGAGTTAGTTCCTGCCCTGTAGCACAGGGGAGTAGAGAAGAGGTGAGGTCTGGTCACACAGACTGATGGGGAGTGGAGTCCTCCTGGTTCTGCCACCAGCTCCTCCTGTGACACACAGTAAAGCTCAGAACTTCTGAGGCTCTGCATGTATTCAGCTAGTTTGCCTGACACAGCCATATCTCTAGCTTGTGTGCTTTCTTTCCTTTTGAGATATTGGAAGAGTTAGAGCTCTGAAGAGGCATAAAGATTCCTGTGTTGAATATTTCCAGTTTTGGTAACAATGCTTTGGTTTTTTAATGTGATTGCAGAAGTATCTATCCCAGCTTGCAGAAGAGAGCCTGAAAATGAAGGAAGAAGGCAGCCCTCTGCCTCAGGATGACACTGGCATCGTTCCTCACTTTGCAAAGAAAAAACTATGATGCAGATGAACTGGAAGAGCTGTAATGAGTGAATGCTGATACCTTTTTTTTTTTTATTTCTATGATATAACTGTCAATTTGCACTGTACAGAGGAGGGGAAATAAAGAGCATGTTCCATGCATCTATGCCCAGAGTGCCATTAAAAACCAAAATGCCTGAAACTGTTTCCCACGGTGAAGCAATGCTGGCATATCTGTTAGAAGTGGAGCAATTCTTTCTCACACTCTGCATGCTGGGAGTGGTTTCCTAAATTAAATCAGAATTCTCAGGGATTCTTAAAGTTTTAGTTCTGATGTAACATGTCAGGTCAGGTGGAGTACTTAGAAGCACTCAGCATCCTCCAGTGGACGCTGGAAGGAAAGGAGATGTGACTATTTATAGGCTTTAATGTTGCTTAAAATATCTTCAGCCATTTGCCCCAGTGAGAAGTAGGATTTGCATAAAAGTAGATTTTGCTAAAACTAGTGAGTAGATGGCATAATGGAAACCCCATCAGCACCCACCTCCATGTCTTAGAGCTTGGTGAAATGACAAATGTTTGTGTTGTCAAGCACTGGCTGTACACTGGCAGTGTTGTGTGAATTGTGGGGGAGCCACAGTCTGTCCCAGGGACCTCAGAGCCTGAAGCCAGCACAGCAAGAACATTCAAATGCACGTGCTGACAGCCAGCCTGCTCTGGTTTCAGCATTTTCCATGGTGTGGTCAGGGTGTTCTCCAGGGACCCTTGTGTTTGAAACTCTACTTTTTGATAATTCTAAAGGGTGCGAACTTTGAGTCTTACAGACTTGAAACTCTCATGAGAGGCTTTTTAAAGTGCCACATGTTTGGACCATGTCTCTTTTAGACATTTTATTCAAGATCCTTGCTTTTGGGGTCTTTTTGTTTTCTTTAAAGCTTGCTTTTCCTCAGCTTGGCAACGTTGAATTTTCCTGGTTTTTATGGAAAGACGCCAGATTTCTAATATTGTTTTTGTATTTTATTTCCCTGAATTTTTTAAGGTGAATACAACAACTGATGGCTCACGGAGCACTGCACTGAGAACACAGGATGCACCAGCAGCTCTGGCATTATTATGACCTATTGTTTCTGCACAGTTGTTGCTTAGTATTTTGCAAAGTCCCTTTGAAATGCACTGTACAAGTTTCTGCTTCATTTCAATAGGGCTTTGTGTACTAAAGTGAATACGCATGCAAACCATTGCCAGGATTGATCCCAGAGTTTATAAAATGCCCTGTGCAATCTGGGCAGATGGGGATTTGCAGGCATTTCCATTCTTTGCCTGACTCTAATATTCATCACAGTATGTTCTGTAAAATTTGCTGGTACTGGATGTCCTCTTTAGATGTTGTGAAGAGGAAACAGTTTCCCAGAAGGTTCTAGCTTTCCCTAAGAGTGACAGGGATGTTGCACAATATTGCAAAGTGGCTAAATTGCCAAAACTGCTTCCACCAAAGTATTTGTTCCATTATGTCTTGTGCCAGCAGCTGTGCTCGTTCTCTGAAGTACCCTGTAGCCAGGCAGTGTCTCTCAGAGGTGCCTGGTGTTGTTGCCTGAAGCCCTGTTCCATTCCATGGCCTGTGCTTTCCACTCATTTTTACCAGAGGTAGGTTCAGATTTCATAGTTGGAATTCCTGCTTCTTGCAAGCTGAGGGATTCTTTGCATCCCAGATTCAGACAGAGCCTACCAAACAACAAGGGGAAATGAAAAACATTACAGCCTAAATCCTCCTTTGTCCAGGCTTGAAGTATATTAAGACTTGTGTCCATCTGTCATTTAAAACAGCTAGTTTAGTTTTAGTCTTGGGGGGATTTTTTTTATTGTTTTGGTGAGGGCTTTTTTTGGTGGTTTCTTTTTTTGGGTTTTTTGTTTTGGTTCTTGGATTTTTTTTTTTCTATGAGGGTTTGGTTTTTTCCCCTATGGAGAAGAAAAAAACCCACCAATATTGCAAACCAGGTATTTTTCCTTCAAGGGTTGGGTTTTCCTTTGACTGTTTGTTTTTCACATTGCAGTGAAACTTGAGCGCAGGGCCATTAGGACAAGAGCTTGTATTGCAGGCTGTAAGATGATGAAAATGGCAGTAAAGATTGTGCAATTGTCTTCTAAAGTGCAGCTCTCTAGCTGGTCATGTATCATCTGAATATGAAGTTCCCTTCATGCCCTTCGGCACAAACTGAACACAAGGGAAGGAAATCAAGCATCAAATCTTTGAAGCTAACCCTGCTATCAAACTGGGGCTCTCACCAGCCTAATGGGAGCTTGTTAGACCATGTGGTTAAGCTTAATTGGATGTGAGACATAGCTGACTGTATATCAAAGTCATATGCCTCCAGCAGCTTTATCCCCAGGTAACCTCAAATGAGAAAAGTATCACTGTTATTATTCTTTATTTGTAGTGCAGCAGAAGCTACAGGTCCACTGCCTTTATTATAGGCAAGGCACAAATCCACAACAAAGACTTTCCCAGGCCAAAGAGCTTTAAATCACACTTTCTGAAAACAGACAACAGGTGGATACAGGCAGGCAGGGAAAGCTGCAGGTAACCATGAGATTTTGACTGGCAGCAGAAGAATAATTAAAATGAGTGTTTACCCAGGGGCTTATTTTTGGATTTATGGGAGATGATTCAAACTACTTTCCCCCTCCTCTGGTTCTGAACCAGGTTTACTCCCATTTTTCACAGCTTGCAATTAACCTCTTTTTTTTCCCTAGACAGTTGCATTAGGAATACAAAATTCCTCCTTGATACAGTGGGTCTTGGTATCCTTTGGTCCCCAGCCATTGAAGTTTCAGTCTCCAGAGGTGGAGCCTTGACCGAGGCTGAGCAGGAAATGTCCTGGCTCCAGACACCTTGTTTGGGTCACAGCTACAGGCCCTTGCTTGCCACAGGAAGGAGGTGGCTCTAGATGGCATCTGTGCCCTGTGCGGTTTCCTCCTCTGCAGGGAGATGACTCAGGTGAGCAGGGCAGGTGCAGAGCCCAGCCCCACAGCCTGATCACAGCCAGACATTTGTAGGGCTGCTTTGGAAACCCCATCCCTTTGGGCTCTGTCCTGACAAAACAGCAATCTGCAAAATCCTGGGAACAGCCAAATGGGCCCTTCCCCTTCTGAGAAGGTCCTTCCTCCCCAAAATTTCAACAGTTGAAAGCAATGCCAAGTCTCAATTAGCTCTTAATGATGCCCTGATCAGTTTGCAGCCTGATGCACTTTGAGAACTCAGAGCTAATCTCCTTCCCTCTCCAACAGGCCATCATGCAATGCTGACAGGCACTCCTCAACTTGTCTCTACTACCTATTCTGCTGAGAAAGAATTCTGCTGTAGGCAGCCCCTTACCTTCCTCAGCTTGTGTGAAAATGTGTTGTTTCTTTTGGTTTATTATATTAAACTCTTGACTTTTTTTAGTTGGCATAATTTGTCATCACTATAATCCACGCTCTTTATTTTTTTATATATATATGTATATAGCACAAAGCAGGCTCAGGTCTAGCCAAACAAATATTGATATTTAAAAAGGAACTTCCTTAATATATCAAAACCATTTCGATACATCTCAACCAAAGATTGCACTTTTGTAATAGGGACTATGTTTTTCATCTCTGTGAAATCTGCATTGATCTCAAATAGTCTTTAATGTCAATCTGCAACCTACTTCCTTTGAAGAAAAAAATGAAAGAATTAAACATTTGCCCCATTAGATGAGACAAAGTTTCACACTGGCTTTAACACTAAATTAGTGTTAGGCTGGTTATATTCAGGGTTTTTTTTCTTTTCTCTAAGGATTAAGGCTGTGATTTGTTGAATTATACTTGAACTGGACCAGATGTACTATTTATTGAGCTTATATAATCTTGTTAATTTAAGTTTTGGTTTGTAAACAGTTGAAATTTGTTAGTACTTGTTTAATTATGTAGGACCTGTCACCAATATTAACTGATCTGTGTAACTGATTGCAAAGTGTTTCAATTTGTGTTTCTTAAGAAGAAAGATTTTAATAAAGAGAATTATAAAGCATATACATTGGTGGGCAATTGACCCAGAAACAACATGCTTCTAGCTTCCCAGGGGATCTATTAAAAATCAAAATGAATAAAATATAGTTTAAGGAGTAAGAATGAAGCAGGGGTGTAAAAGGTTTGCTTTTAAATATAATTTTTACAAGTTGTGGTTCGTGGTTCTTGCCAGGGAGCTCCCACTGTACAGATTGGGAGTGATTGCCATCAGCTGGTGCTGAACTTGAAGTGAGCACATCTCAGCAGTTCACTCTGTAATTATCATTAATTGTTATTACCCACTCCTATCCCTCTAGATATGTCCTTACTTCCCTTTTTATTTCCAGATGAACTGGCAACCTGTCTGTTCCCACTGGCTTTTTGCTGTCTCCATCCAAGTTGTCTTCTCAGCCTTCTGAAAGCATCACATGAAATATTGCCCAGCCAGGAACTTTCTCCATGCCATCTCAACCTATGTCCCTATTAAGTTTACCCAATTCTTTTGTTTCCCTTGTGCTCTCCCTCTGCCTTTCCTTATTTTTCTTTTTTTCAGCAGTGTCCTCCCCAGTGCCACCCCAGCTATACAAGGACCTTTCCCACTCTGGCCTTTTCCTGGCTCACCACCACTGCCATCAACCAGAGCTCCTGGGAAGAAATACTCAGCCTCAGCCAGGGTGACCTAAAGACATTCTTGTACTAAATATTTAAAGAATGCAAAGAGGACAAAAGCTGAGGAGAGACTTTATCACCAGATCTGATAAATTCATTCAGTGGAAAACACGGAGGAAAGCTGAGACACCAATATCTAGTCCATGTGCAAGGCATGGCATGGAACACTATCAAAGCATGAGCTACACCTCCCATCCCCCTCCCTGGGAGGGAAATGGGTTCTGTCTGCCCCACTGAATGGCTGGGGAAATTCTGACTCTGCAGCTCGTTAAATCAGTGCCTTTTAAGTAACTGTTTTGCAGGTGAGGCACACATGTCATATATTTTAAGCACAAATGGTTTCAGTTCTTCTGTCCAGGATGTACTGAAACCTTTGTTCTTGTGATACCATCTCATTGGAGCTGTGAATCTCTCACTCTAGAAAGCAGGCAAATGAAATAACATATGCATACCAAAGGAAAAAAACATCCAAACTCTGGTGTTCAAACACAATGTTTCAAGTCCAGGTTTTGTCACACGTAATATTCTTGCTGGAAAAGGGAACTCGTGTCTGGAAAACTTCACAGGTGAGCAAAACATCAGCTTGGCCTTTTGACACAAGGCTGTGCCTGAGCTCACTTGGGCAGCCAGGCTGTGAAACAGCAGGGCTGCCCAGCCTGCCCACAGTGCAGTCAAGGCTGTCCCAAACCAGGAGCCCTGTGTGGAAGCTGAGCAGGAGGGAGGGCAGGGGCATGCAGGGAGCTGGGCATGGTGCTGCCAGCTTTGGGCCAGGCTGACGTGGGCCCTGCCTGGGGGACGCTGCCCTGGCACATCAGCCGGGCTGGCAGGCCCTGTGTGGAGCAGCCTCCCCTTCCTGCTTTTTCAGTGCCCTGGGACTGTGCTGTGTTTGTGCAGGTGGCAGCAAGGGCAGCCCAGAGAACAGGTTTGCCTTGGTTACGTTCCCACGTCCAACTCCAGCGGCCTCCACGGATCTGTGTCAATAGGTCGAGCTCTCCTCACGTGCTTCGCTCACTGATGCAATGCTGCAGCACAAGGCCATGGGAGCATGTGGTGTGTATTCGTGGAGGGGAAGGTCCCTTGGCTGGGGACAAGAGGGAGCTCTACAAGAGACAGGGATTCTCCCTGAAACACCTTGGTGGAACTAGGTAATGCAGCAGTGGTACACAAAATACCAACAAAGATCAGCATTCAGCACCCTGTAGTTGTGTCAGGGGAAGTTTAGGTTGGATATGAGGAAAAGGTTCTGCGCCCAGAGGGGGGTTGGGATCTGGAACAGGGCCAGGCAATTGGTCTCAGCACCAAGCCTGATGAAGTTCAAGAAGCACTTAGACAAACAGCACATGGTGTCAATTTTTGGACTGTCCAGGAGTTGGGCATGATGATCCTTGTGGATCCCTTCCAACTCAGAATGCTCTGCGATTGTCACTGCACGGCCTGAGCTGGTCTTACTGACCTGGTGGTCAGCAATCCTTCCCAGCTCTCCTGCCATGCCCCACCTCCCCTTTCCTTGCCTTCAGCAGAGTTATGGTGCATTATAGCACTGGCAATCGGCCCCTATCATTTTGGAACAGTCTTGTACTAACCTGACCTACACATGGCACCATGGGAACCTCACTCCCCAGATGCAGAAGTGAAAGGAGCAGAAGTAGTTTCCATTTTTTCCCTCCTACCTGTCCCCTTTTGCTGCCAACATCAGAAGGGCCCTGGTTGGTGCCATGGGGGTGTGGGAGCAGGCAGGGGAGCAGTGGGGCCACCAGGATCCATCTCCCACACTGTCAAGATTATTTTCTTAGGGCTGATCTGCACACAATTGCATCAGCCTTCTGCAGGGTGAGATTTCTAATCAGATACCCAAAGCCAGCAGCTCTCTCAGTTCACATCAGGCCTGTTCTGGTTAAAGGGCTGCCTGTCAGGAGCAGCACTCAGCTAGCTACCTGAACTGGCTTCCTTTAAACTGAAATAGGAGCATACATCAATTTTTAATTAACTGGATCATCTGAATGAGTGGGCACATCCAAAAGCTTTTTGTGAACTAGAAAGCTGCGTAGGGCATGCTGAATTCAGCCTATTAAATGTTTAAATAATTGCCAGGCAGAGTCTTGGACACTATTCCTCAAGGTAACACAGTGAAGTATCAGCAGCACAGCCCTGGGTCAGGAGGCAGCTTTCTCAGCCTAATTTCTTCCCTGTGCCTTAGAAACAAAGGCTCTTGTTTAA